TGAATCTCCATAACGGGGACACAGACAGCAATAAAAACCTGACCAGTGTTCTAATCCCTCTTCACTATAGCCAAAGCTAAAAAAAAAAAGTTTTTACTTCAGTTCTATTTTAAAGAATATCTAAAGCCACGTTTTATTTTTATTTTGGATGGAGTAAGGAATTTGTAGACACAACAGGAAGTAAGATGAAATCTCTCCAAAGTAGAGAAAATGCCTTTTAGAACTCTGGGAATTTGTTTTATTAACCATTTGCAGCGGGGGTAGCACTGGCACTTCAAGGGTTAAATGCTCATTTGTGTATTACATCAATTCCGCATTCACCTGTCAGTCATCTGGCTGCTATAGCCAGAGAGAAGAAGCTGATGAAGCAGAGCTTTGCTTCATCAGCTTCTTTTGGGGTCCCCAGGTGTATTTTGTATTTTTATATTTAATTTAATTGTATTTATGTTTGTTTGTTTATGGAGTAATTAAATATATGTGCATGAGAGGGCAGCTAAGCTAAACTAGATGGGACTTAAAGTGACATTAAAGTCAATTTTTTCCCCTCCCCCCCCAATGGTAATGTCAGCACTTACCTTAAATGATGTCTCTTAATCCGATCTTCTTCTTTCCTGTCCTTTTCATCTGTCCCTCCAGCGCTGCTGCGGGTCTCCGTCCAGCGCTGACTCCTCTGTCCTTGCTGGCACTTCCTGTCCCACGGTGTCTGCATGCGAGTACACACGTCCCTAGACTTACCTTGTGTCTCTCCTCGTCTACCGGCCGAAAATGTGAACTCCGCATGCGCCCGCCCCAAGATGCTTTGCGGCCACCCGAGATTTTTCACATTTTCGGATGGGAGCGCGCAGGGGAGACACAGGTAAGTATTGACCTCTTTTAAAGTGTTTTTAAAAAACACGTTTTGCATATATCTACTGCTTACTAGCAGTAGATATATGCAACAAAAACGGAGGCTTTAATGATACTTTAAGTAATGGTTATAAAGAAGTATGAGATTTTTTGTTTTCAGTAGGAGAATAATAAAGTCATTGTATTTATTTACATGTATATATTAAGTGTAAAGGTTTATGTTGGATCGGCTGTCCTGATGGAAGTTTGTTTTGTATCAATTCGTAAAACTGAAATAAAGAATGAAAAAAAGGTTTCTAATGCTGATATGAAGGGACACAAAAAGGCCGAGCTGGGATTCAGCTTTTACTAACACATATTATTCACGGATATTATTCATAAGGAAAATAAAGGAAGAATCAAAATACAAATCATCCCGATCCCTATAACGAATTGTAGAATCCAAACCTGTGAAGTATTTGCAGCCTCGGTGGTCGGTGTTGTTTAATCTCTTGTGCAGGTTTGTACCTCTGTGTGCACCCGCTGAGGAGATTCACTCCTCTATGTGTTCCGGTGACCACAGGACTTAGCGTGAGGGAAAATCTGAAGTATGAGTTGTCACCAGAACAGGAAGAGAGGGGAAATCTTCCTGTAGGGACACTTCCGTCTGTGACCGCAGTCTAAAGGCCCGTTCACACCAGAGCGGTGAACCAAGCATACTTGGGGCCCGGTACTGTGTGCTACATTGCATCGCCATTCATCTGAATGGTACCCCAGATCCAGTGACGTGCGGTACCTTCGGTTCTGGGTGATGCACACAAACTGCGCATGCACCCGCCCCCCCAAGATCCTTTGCGGCTGCCCGAGAATCTTCAGATGTTCGGACGGGAGTGCGCAGCGGAGGCACAGGTAAGTTTCAACCATTTGCAAAAGTTTTTTTTCTTAATGTTTTTGCATATATCTACTGCTTGCTAGCTGTAGATATATGCAAAGAAAGGGAGGCTTTAATAATTCTTAAGGGCCTGTTCACACGACGTCCGTTTTGTGTGCTGACCGGATCCGTACGCTGCTGCACTCAAAATGCATCCCAATGTATCCCATAGGCCCGGTTCACACCTGGGCGTTTTGTAGCGCGTTCGAACGCTCAGCAAAACACTCAAACACCGAAATCCCATTATTTCCTATGGGTATGGTTCACACCTGGGCGTATTACAGGCCGTATGAACGCGCTACAAAACGCGCGTTTCCATTGGGATACAGCCAAGTAGCCCTCGGAAAACGCGCATTTGTCGCGTGTTTTTTTACCGCGAATCGCGGTAAAAACACGCGACACAAAACGCGTGAAAAACGCACATATTCGATACGCCTAGGTGTGAACCCAGCCTATGTGTTTTATGGGCTACAGTTCTCACGTGCGCAGTCCGTTCAGGTTACGACAGAAAAATACTGCATGTCACATTTTGTACGGTCAGGAAACGGTCCGGAAACGCAAACGCGTCAAAAACGCGTCAAAAACGCACTGCACTGCAGCTAACATACTAACAGCCCCACTCCAGCCCAAACATTTTTTTTTCACCTTCCAATGCAGGCTTGGACCTATGAGACAACACAGGCCTTTGATAAATGAGACTCTTCATTGTTTTAAAGTGAACAATCTCTCGAACATCAGCTGAGTCTGCAGGAAAATCTCTGCATGTGCTCTTTGAACAAATGCGTAAGCAAATGAGAGTTCTCACATGCGAGCTGCCTGAGCTCAGGGAAGTCTCAGTATCACATTATGTAACCGCTCTGCCTTTCTTTTCCTTCAGTTTTCGAGCAGTATCAGAGGGCACGGACCCAGTTTGTTCAAACAGTCGCAGAGCTCGCCACAAGACCTCAAAACATTGAGACTCTTCAGAATGCAGGTAATTCTTCTCCCCGGGTAATGCATGGAATGCTTAACTGCTGTTGTATTTCAAGGGATAGTTCACCATTCTATACATTTGTCTGTTTTTTGAGATTGCATTGAAAAAAATTAATACATGTGGGAGTTAAAGGAGAAGTATTGGGAGAGTAATATGTACTCGTTACAATACTTAGAGCCGGAGTGTCACACTGCAGCCATGACACACTGGCTCTATAGATCAGCCTTTCTCAACCAGGGTCCCGTGGCATACCGATCTGCCTCCTGACTTCCTCAGGGGTGCCTCAACATTTTGTGGTAGTGTGAAGGGGGAAATAACAGTAGTGGGACTGTGATGTGAAGGGGCAAATTAAGACTCATGTGATTGCGGCTACTGACGTAAAAGAGGAACTCTGATATGAAAGGAGGGCTACTGATGCAAAGGGTGACTCTGATGTGAAGCGGTGGGGGAAATCTTGATTTGAAGGGGGCACTTCAATGTGAAGGGGGTAACACGCTTTTTTGTACATTTTTGCATGGGGTTCCTGTTAAAGTCTATGACATTTTAGACCGGGGTGCCTCGTGATTTTGCATACTTTTAAAGGATGCCGCGATTAAAAGAAGGTTGAGAAACACTGCTATACATCGAGAGCTGAGTGATCAGATAACTGCTGATTGCTCAGCTCATGGTCTTTTCCGTACAGTGGCAACTGTCAGTCATTGCTCCCTAGAGGGATTCCCCCCTCCCTTCTCCGTTCCTCCAAAGAACACTAGAGGGTCAGACAGGGGAGGGGACGGGATGTCAATCAGGCAGTGGGGGTGGATCCCAACAATATTGTTGGGATCCTTCTCGCCTACAGCACGCCTCTGCGCTGTTAGCATATAGCAGGCAGTAGTCCACTATATGCTGAGTTTGGGTTACGGAGGGACATTAGTAAATCTACTCTTGTAACCCAAAGGAGAACTACAGCCAAAAAAAAGAAATGCTTGTCTGTCTTGAAAAACAAAACATTATATATATAACTTTGATATCATACGTAGTGAGAAAGTTATTGCTGAATCAGTAGGCCTAAAGCAGAAATGTAAAAGCTGCTCTGGTTCATGAGTACACCGATGCTGGAGATGAAGCTGTTAAAGTAAACCTGAGCTCATGAAGGGAAGATTTCCTGTCTTATAGGAAACATCCAGAAATGTTAATATTATGAATAATTGAGTGCAAGGATCTCCCTGCTTTTTCTTTATTCATTCTCTGGACCTGTTCTTCTTCCACCCCTCCTGCTGCTTCTTAAAGCTGAACTCTTTGATAAGGAAATACAGTCTAAATACAAGAGTCATGTATATCCTTACTTGAATCTTGGTGAGCTTTGTGTATTTCTTCTTCTGCAAAAGTCCATTGTGACACTTGGAGCTTCCTGTAATAAGGACCAGTCACTGCTGCTGGCTCTTCTTGTGCAGGGTGACTGGTCTTGTAGAGGTTATGTACAGCACAGTGATGATGTCTTTTACTGGGTTTAAAAAGGCATTTGGTGCACACAAATTTGATGTATGCCCTTTGTGGCTATTAAGCAATATATTTAAATGAGAGTTTTTATGCCCGGAGTTCCGCTTTAATCATTACTGTACCAGTAATCAAGTCACCAGTCATGAGGGAGACAGCTCTGACATGAGGAAGCAATGCCCTCCCTCTGCCAAGATGCTTCCCACAGAGATATGGTGAGGACCAAGGTCTGGTAAGTCAGTAATGGGGAACGGTCAGCTGTGGGGAGACTACAGGTAACACTGACTAGTCCGTTGCCCTCTGCTGCCATGTTCCGGCCGACGTTTCCACTGTTCTGTTCCTCTTTAAAGTGCCGGGATTGAGAGGTTTCTCACAGCCATCAAACCTGGCCTGGAAGTTGAAATCTGATGGATGAGTGAAAGAGAAAGAAAAAACGCACTAGTTCAAAGAAGCAAACCCACCCGCTGAACTTGTGGCATCTTGCTGCTTCTTTATGAGAGAAAATGGAAAAATCCTTTTACCGGCTATACACAGAAATGAAATATTACATAAGGTGGTTTATAGAGCTGAATTGGGTCCAGGGTGGCAGCGAGGACCTGTGCATTTTTTAAATTTAGCTCCACTGCTGTGCATTGTAAATGGGCGGTATAATGCGTTGTTACATTGCATCACAGTGTTTCCTTTTTTTAAACTTTATTGAAATGTCACAAAACAACACTTTATTGAATTCTATGTACAACAGCACCTGGCATTGACACGTATTTCTTTGCATTGCACTACATTAAAATGCAACAGCATACACCACGTTAAAATGCAACAGCATACACCAACGCACACGTATGGTGTGAACAAGGCACATGGAAAACAATTCTTTACTGTCTGCCCTTGCATTGTGCCTGTGCTGGTCAATGCTGGTCCACGCAGCTCAACACACGTCGCGTGAACCAACCCCAAGGCCCCTTTCAGACGGATAGTTCGATCAGGTACGCCTGTCAGTTTTTCAGATAATTCTGATTGGAAGCCCAGTCTATTGTCAGTCAGGTCTAAACGGACGTGTCTGTTGATATTCGATAACCACTGACTCCGTCTAGGTCTAGAAAACAAAACAGAACAGGGTTCTGTTTTGGTGGACCTGATTGTAAGGGCTTGTTTCCACCAGTCCACGCGTCTACCACAATGTCCCGTGCCTGGAACGCAAGTGCTCGCATACATAAAGTCTCCTTGCGTGTATGCACTATATTTTGCGATTGCACTACACTGGAACACAGGACATTTTATTGCCACGTCTTCCTGTGCGGTCGATCGTACTGCGGGCGAGGGGGGCGTGTCTGCAGTGCCATTCACTTGAATGGCACTGCATGCCCTCTCCCGCCCCAGAAAGCAAGAAGACTTTATGTATGCGATTCCTTGCGTACGGGGCATTGCAGTAGACGCGCGGGCTGGTGGAAACAAGCCCTTGGGGATAATCTGACGCAGACACATGTCCGTTTACATCTAACTCCCCATAGACCTAACATGGGTCTGTGCAGCATTGTTCACAGTTCCTCTTCTAATCGGAAATGACAGTGCCCATGTAAAAGATGCCTTAGGGTGAAGGCAGATGGGCATTTGTAAATGCAGTGCTGTTCTTTTTAGAAAAATGCTGTATGTTTCCTTCCAGCTGAGTTGATAGAAATCATGCTCCCCGTGTCACACAGATTTGGGTAGAAGTATATCTGTAAAAAATAAGTCAAGACAACTGGGTAGAAGTGATCTACGTCTTGAAATACTGCACCGTGGGATTCAGGGCACTCTGGTGACATGGGGAGACCCCCCCATTCCTTTCCATGCCAAGCTAATCCAGTTTAGGAGTAAAAAAAACACAATGAAGGGAATTTATCAAAACTGGAGCAGACAAAATCTGGAGCAGCTGTGCATGGCAACCAATCAGCTTCTATCTTTCATTTTCAAATCTTAACTGAACAAACTGAAGAGAGAAACTGATTGGTTGCCATGGGCAATTGCTCCAGATTTTGTCTGCTCCAGTTTTGATAAATTCCCCTCTCTGTACTTCTAATTGCTACATAATAATCTGCCCTTACCTTGTAGTTGGGATCACTTGTTAGCATTTTAGGTTTATTGGTGCTTTAAATTGTTTTGTTGCATTACAACCGGGCTGTGAAAACTATTTGTTCTGTGTAATTACTTTTGTTCCAGCAATCAGCAACATTTGCTTTGTAGTCTGGGCCTCTAGTGGAACAGATGAGTGGCTGTGAAATATTCGGTGTTTTAGTAGCTGCATGTGCTTCTCCGCCACAACTTCATTTACACAAGGTCAGACTGACCTGTTTGTACGGCACACTTCGTCACTAAGCCAGCCTGCAAGTATTGGATGGAAAGGAACTGGAACTAGAACAAGTCCCTTTTCATGTGCACTGAGATTTCCATCCGTGGGTCATGTTGTATTGCCAAGGAAGAAAACAACATAAAAGATCATTATAATCTAATGACACATTTGCAGATTTATGTAGCAATTGGTAATGTATAATTTGCATGGTATAAAATGCAGCTGGAAATAATAGAGTTGCATAAAATAATTCTCTATACCCTAGGGCAGTGATGGCAAACCTTTTTGAACCCGAGTGCCCAAACTGCGACGCAAAATCAATTTATTTATCTCAAAGTGCCAGCGCTGAAAATAAGTTTGGTATTGCAGTTTGGGCGCTTGGGTTTAAGAAATGTTCAACATCACTGCCTAACGGCCTTGTACGGCTCTCACGGGGGACATGAATGTCCCGGATCGCCTCTGTAGTCGGGCCGTCACAATCAGGCAGCGGCGGTGACCTCTAAACAGGCAGATTAGACGGCCGCTTGCGAGGGCCTCCCAGGGTCCGAGCTAGGAGGAAGCAGCCGTCTAACCTACCTGTTTATTGGCTGCCGCTGCCTAATTGTGACTGGCCCAGATCGCATACCAAGGCGATCAGGGTCAGTCGGATCTATTTCAATTGGTGGTCCCTAAACGCAGTGGTGTATTCTGGTTTGGGGCTGCCCTAGGCAAGGCAAAACACGGGCGCCCACACCCCCACTAAATTTACCCCACCCCTTCCTGTTTAATACTTTTTGTGTGACCTGTCAGTCGCTGGATACAGTGCAAACATCTCCTCCCGTCCTCTCAAATCTCCGCCCCCATCTCCCTCTGTCTCCACCCCCTGCCGCTCCGTCCCCCTTCTCCTCCTGCTCGCTCGTCCGCCGATTTCGCCCCGTCGGCTGCCTAATGTTTTGTTGCCTGAACCTGGGCTCGCGGGCCAGCAGAAAGGGCCTTGCGTGCCCTCCCTGGCACGCGTGCCATAGGTTCGCCACCACTGCCCTAGGGCCTTGGTTCTCAACTCATGGGTTGTGTTCAGTGGGTCACCGCATGCCTTCCACTTTTCTAGGTGAGAGGATCCTCAGCCTCCCCCTAGAGCAGCACTGTCAGGTCTTGCACCAAGCAGCCATTAAAAATATGCTGCTCGGTGCCGAGTGTCAGCTTGCGATTGGGTAGGCTA